GGTGAGTGCCAATGGTGTTTGGGTTAGACAGATGTTTAACCGGCCACTCAGCGATGTCAGATAGCAAGTCCTTATTAGTGGACTAAACCACAACTTCGTAGATGCTTCACCCGTGGAATATTTTGTGGTATTTGAACGTGCTTTACAGTTCGGTGGAATCGACGAAGAGATATAAACGCCGATTGAAGTATGTCATCGTTTCAGCCTTAATATGTACCAAGCAGCACGATCCGTTATCACAACAAGAGAAGAGCGAAATCAAAACCTCAGAAGCTGACAAGACCATCGTAAGTTTGCTGACGAGCAAAACGACTTTTAACAAATCAGACTGCGTAGAAAGGGCAACACACTTAACAGATGACTCTCCGACGTACCGCTGCATGGCGAGTGATCCAACATCCCAAATTAAGCATAAAGTAAACAGAACATTGAACATGCTTCATGGTATGAACCAGATCACAAAAGAAAGGCATGGGAAAATGAAGGCTCGTGGCTCAAGTATCGCTCAATTCTATGGACTTCCGAAGGTACACAAAGGCAATGTACCACTGCAAACAATCGTGTCATTACTTGACACAACCAATTACAAGTAGGCTTTGGAATTACGGTGGCAGCCCAAATACCTAATCAATGGGTCGCAGTACTCCAGCAACGAAGCTCAGCAAAACTCAAACACCTAGGATTAGATCATGAATAAATGGGGGGTATCGACGTCATCGCCTTATTCATCTACGTCAGTGTACACTTGGCGAAGGAAGCTATCAGCGAGTGTTTGGACAACGACGGATAAATAATTGGGAGCTTAATGACTGAAAACGTATGCAAACACTTCGAGTTGGGACTTATAACCTATGTCAAATTCAACATTTTGATCTAAGATCAAGTGAAACGAGCTTCAATGAGACCATTTATATCGGGACTCATTGCAGAGGTCGTCATGCAGCAATTGGAAAAGAACCTGCTCCCGACCATTAACCGAAAATTTTGTATCCGATATGTAGACGACATTCTGTAGTACTCAAATGCGGTCAGCTGCAGACTGCACCAATGCAAGCAAATAATACAATGAACGGTACTCGTTTCACAATGGAGATGGCAAATAAAATGTTTAACTTGAACGTGTGGTTACAAGGTGAATGGACGGAGCATTACAAACATGTGTTAATAGAAAGGTCACCAACGTACACACATATCGAATAATAAACTTCAACAGAAAGCATCCAAAGATGTCACAGAATAAATTTATTCGTAAACTCGATTCAGACTTTAACACCGCCAAAGCAAAAGGGAAGAAAGTTAAACGCCTGTTTACGTCCTAGCTCAATGAATACCCAGGCAATTTTATCATGTATGACACCCACACTGCAAAACCGCAAATACTGGCCTACACCGGGAACAACTAAGCGGTTCTTCTTGCTGTATATCACGTGTCAGACATGATCGCTACGCCCTCAACTCTCACCACCTGATAGTGGCTCAGAGGCCAACTGCTACCCTAATGCGAACTCTGCCTAGACAGTAAGGTAAAACGGAAGCACACAAACACCGAAATGTCGCCTACCGAATACAGGGCCAAAATTATGAACAACGATATGTGGGAAAAGCCAGAAGGAAATTATCAATAAGAATATAAGAGCAGAATCCTGCCTACGGAAACCATTACGCATCATCACTGTTCTCAGGGAAAGTCTATGAGGAGGGGCACAAATGTGACTGGACCAAAACGAAGATTCTGGCGCATGGAGGGATACGAAATGATAATTTTTCAAGGCATGGTTATCTACAGCGAATTCAATCAACCTGTGCCAGGATAAGCTTTTCCATGCTCCAGTTTTACAAGATCAGGGATTGTCTCTTGAACCGGATCGCCAACTTGCTCCTTCAACGGCAATTAGTTGTCACAGCTATTTATCTGAGCCAATACAAGTCGAGAGTCGCGTGCCGCAAGTTTCAGTTCTGGGGCCATGAATGTTTTTGGTAGGTATTAATGACCTCGCGCAAACAATCGCTTCAAATTTCCTACTGTTTGCCAAGGACAGCAATAGATGGCGCCAGATTCAGTTGAATGTCTACCAACACCTACTGCACTGCGACTGAAACACAGTGCATCGGTGGTCAATTCGAACTGCAATTCAACGTGAGGAGATGCAAGGTACTCTCCATATGATAACGGAGTGTCTACTCCAACAGTCTCGGAACACAAGTACTATAGGAATCTACCGTCGAACGTGATCTCGGAGTGTTAGTTCTGCATGAGGTGCGTTGTTCTAGGCAACCTGAAAAGGCATCGAAAGCTGGTGATCGATATGTCGGGCTGTTGCGACGGACGTTCAGACAAATAGACATCTCCATTTTTTCGACAGATGCTTAGTGCACTCATGTCGATTACGCAATTAAACCCTGGCCTCCCTGGCTAAAACTCCACCTCACTGGACTGTAGCGGCCTCAAGGCCTGGCATTCAAGTTCGCCAATCGAATGCGCGTTCTCCCATGCGAACAGAGTATTTAGTGGACAGTATCGTCAGTTACGATGCGACCCGATAATGACCTACTTGATTCTGCATGATCCAGATCATGTGTGTCGCTGCTTGCTACAACTCAGAGGTAATACCAACCTGAAAAGTCGCACTTTGACACTGATAGAAAAGTTCAGTCGTCTGAAATGTCGCAGAAACTCCTATTCCGTGCACGTATATCACCCGTGGAATGCCCTCCTTGAATCGGTCATTTCTATACCGACACTAGGCATATTTAACATCCGTTGGATGACGCGCTCATCCACCAACATTTTAATCTAAATGAGACAATGAGAAGTCTGGTAGTGCGAGATGGAAACATTTCATGTTATCTGATCTCTAATTAGTTGAGGTGTGTTTCTCACCGTCGGCTAACATATGCTGATGATCATGATGATCTGAGCACCCGCAAACTAGCACCATAAAAATGAATCAGGTGGCAGAAAAAATCGAACGTTTGGAAATGGTCCCAAAGGAAATTACGTGGACACGAGAACAACAGATCTACGAGGATCACAGTAAGGTTACGAGCCTCAAGGAATCTTTTGGGAGACTGTTAATTGTTTCTGCACATAATGAATAAGACGACGCCGGTTAAGTGTCACCGCTTCGGCAACCCTAAAAGCTTTGGGGTTTCACTTCGGTAGATTATTGTAACTGTTGATCCAGGGTCCACCTGATGACCTGTTTCGAGTAGATGTCTGGCGATAGATGATGCCAGCAGCTTAGATACCTTTTATCGTTCGGCTGCTTGTTGTGTCGACAGTTTAGCAATCCAATGCACTTACCCAAGGATCGATCTATTCTGCCAATGTAACTGCTTCCGCAGTTACAAACCAATTGTTAAATATAATGTGTTGTGGCGGAAGTCGGTTGAGTAGGCTTCACTAGAGGCATAGGCAACTTTCTGGTCTCCCAAATGAGGCAGAGTTTGGCGGCATTGAATGTCCGGCGAATCGATCTTTGCAAACCTCTTTCAAGTTCGGCGGCCCCGATACCACATTTGGAAGGTAAGTAAAGGTAGACAGACAGTTTAGGCAAAGTAAGTATCCTCGGTCTGTTTTCTTTCGGTTGCGTGTGAAATGGACTCAACGTCTCCGGATATCCATTGGCTCATTACCTCTGTGGGATGGACAGCAATTCCGACCACAAACAGTCGTCACTGCATATTCTGCGGATTCGATTAAACAGCAGCTTGACTAAGCAACATTTGTATTGGATAGGGGGAAGCTGTTGGAGTTTTCATATAGTCCTGTGCATGCAGCTTTCCCGTGAACGGAAAGCTTTATGGAACCGTCCTCTCATTTGATAAACAACACGTCCAAAATTGTAAGCATTTATTGTCCTCCAGTTCAAAGGTGAAACAAACGGTTGATTTGTGTTGTCGAGCACATTGAGAAGAAATAGAACAGCGTCTCCTCTTGGGGCGTGCATTAGTGTCTCATCTATGTATCGCCTGCATAAACACATTTGGTTGATGTGCGGCTCACATCTCATTTCAACCATCGTCATGAGGATGTCAGCCAGTACCAGGCCAAGCGGACTTCCCATGGCTACACAATCCACCTGTCGGTACGGCTTGTCTTCAAATAACAAACGCACATTTTCCGTGCATAGTAGCAACAAATGCCTAAGAGATTCCACGGGAACCGGTAACACTACTTTAGTGCTCATGATAAACTCACATAAGAAATCCACCATTTCGCTTAGTGGAATGTTATTGAACCAAGACTGTAAGTCCATTGAACACATTAGCTTGTCGGCAATATTCATGTTTTGTACACAGTCAGGTCGAATGTGTCTTTCACAGTATACTTGTCATTATTCGTCTCACCGATGCAAGCAGATCAATAAGTCAACGCGCCAACTCGTAGTATGGCGAGCTGCAGATAGACAGTACAGGCCTTAAAGATGTGTGCGCCTTGTGGATCTTCGATAAGTCATATCTTTTAGGGGTGCGTGTCCCCATTAGCTTTAGAGAGTTGCACGTCTCTTCTGTTATCATTCCGTAATGCAACAGCAATTTTAGTTGGTTAGTCACCCACTTTTCGATTTGTGTTACAGTGGTTTCGTTTTGGCCTTCCTGAAATTTGCACTCATCTTTAGGGATCTCATACTTCTTGTTTTTGTAGTCAAGCTTATTAATAATTACAACCCATGTGCCTTTCTCAGGTTTTGGTATCCACACGTACATTTTTTACTTAGCCCTAGCTGTATGGTCGATTCCTGGGATATATCTTGGATTTATTGGCTGTCACTTGTTTACGTTGTGAAACCACGAGCAGTACAGAACTACAGGGTAATAAATGAAAAGTCTATCCTTCGATAACTAAAGAACCGACGGTTTGTTATTAAATATTTTCCGTAATCCCACTGGGCCACCCAACACGACTCCTAAAGTAGCGCTTCTTAACCTGTATATAGTAATTGTTCATTGTTCATTCATATTTAAGCCGTAGTATGTAATTGTGACAATGAACCTACTCTGAGATATGTTGATTTCCCTTTCACCAAGTCATTCACTACGACCTCTGGAGAGTCGCGGCTGGGTGACTTGGTCTTGCGAGCCTTGGCCTCTGCAGCAAATTCGATTCCTTCGCTGACTGCTTGCTCAAGATCTGAGTACGTAAGAAAGGGCCGTTGATCCAAAGGGATAGAGCATAACCAAGAGAAGAGAGCTTTCACTTTCTCTTCATCCGTCTTTAAGTTCCGACTTCCAATCAGTGCCCAATAGAGATCTGTCCACGTGGCCGGCTTAGCTTCACTCTGGGCAATCTGTCGCGCGACTTGATCCACTGGTTGCGGTTGATGTACGCTGGTCGAACTGATTCGATTTGATTGGCTCTGAGTTTCAAAGGTCGCTTTATCCAGTGGTGGGTCGACTTTACCGGACGAGGGTTGAAGCAAAGGCGTTGGAGTCTTTGCTGATTGGGGAGCAGGCTTGAGGATGACCAGCTTTTGCCGACGTTGAACTGAGTCGAGTTCCTCCTGGGCAGGGACATGATTGACTGCGTTTGATACATGAGCCACCGCATTGGCTGTCAAACAGGTTTAAAGGAAAAATGTGACGTCATATGCCAGTGCACAAATATTACGGCAGATTAGTTCACAAAACCGGAAACACATCAGATAGAGACATAAAGAACAAGCTAGTCAAACATAATCCATCAGTTGAGTTATTTTCATTGTGGCACACCGTGGAACAAATCGCTCTGCCAGTCCAGTGTGTGGAATAACAGCTTGTCATGGCGCGGGGTCCTGAAATTGTTGTGGTTTCAGGAATACCAATGCAAAGTCACGATGGAAATCACCTGATTGGAGATAAGTAAACACGGTTCACTTTGTCTCTTGGACTTAGTATTTTAAGTTGTTGGAAAACTGGTCGTGTGAATTCGCTTTGTCTTTGTAAAGCGATTTCCCAATTTACCGTTGCTACTAGCCATTTTTTTGCTAATCGTTTACTAAGAAATCGGTTTACATATTCACACACCAAGTACCGGGGTCAGTATATGGGGATCTTTGTTCTGTCTTCGTTTTCAGTACAGGGGACTGAGAGACTGACTGACAGAGTCTGACTGTCGGTCACAGTCGTTCAGCATGGCGCGGCTTCGGGGTGCAATGCCTGGATATCATCGAGCCATTTGTGTGGGTAACTGCATCATACCTGGTTTGTAGCGCGTCTACGTGTCTACCAAGTGAAAGGAGTCCACAGTGCTGTAGGTCTCAGATACTTGTAACTGGTAATAATTTTCAGTGAATTCAGCTGCGCATAGCCTACGCTTGATTTTTCGATGGAATGTTGACGACTAAGTACATCTCAACCAAGACAATTATTCCAAAGTTTTCGTTGTGACGATCGGTCTCGCTAGGAAGCGTAGGTCAATGATTGTGTTGCATTCAAATCAACCTCACCGTGGTCTTTATTTTCTAAATAAGTCCCACAGTGGCTTACTCGACACTCTTTTACAAATACACTCCAACGCGCTCCTGCATGTTCGGCAGCTGACGAAGCGAAGGGGAAAGTATCGCGTTGAAAAACCTGTAACACTGTCCAGAAACATGGCTTAATGTTGGTCGACAACTCATCGGGTATAAAATATCCTACGGGTATACCATACAAAGCATTTCTCGAGGATCTAATAAAAGAATATACTTTATCTGATCGTGAACAAACTGTTTAGGTTATTACATTGACAGGAAGACATGCACAGGTTGTAAGAAAGTAATAACCCTGTGTACATACCCAGTATGTCCCGAGTCTGTTTCGTCCACCCACGGATCCCAGTGGAAGCTGTTAAGCTTTGCGATGCCGCGATCTCTGGCTTGTAATACTCAGGTTTCTTTGGGGTCGCTACACTGTGCACAGGGGTCAGCTGAAGTCAACCCGTGATCTCACGACTGTGCAATCCCAGAACAGCGAGTTGCATTCACGTGGCTTTCGGGCTAACGCGCTCTCATATTCGTATTGTCATAAGAAACACAATGATGCCATCTAACTACGGGCTAAACTACGATAATGTGTAACATATATAACAGGGAACTCTTTACGCCCAAGAAGTATGAAAGTATTGACGACTTATAGTTAGGGATCGGTATGTTTCCGACAGATAAGAGCGCCATCTGCATGTAATCAGTCAGTTGTAAGATGTTTATTAGAAATAGCATATACCGGCGTCAATCCTCCAATTTTCTCTACTTCCGTTTTCCAGTTAAATAATCTGAACAAGATTTTCTTTCACATCTACAGCTAGCTACGGATTATATCTAACTACGGTGGTTTGATAGTTCACCTACATTCTGTCTACAAATATACTCTGATAGTTGACATAATTTGAAGCCAAGTGGGTGGCGTTTTCTTCGTAGAGATTTCGAGAAATTTGATGCTTCAGTCTTTCCGAAAATTTCTGGCGCGTATGTAAGGCCTCACGCGGAATACGCTGTCCAAGCGTGGCATCCCTGGCAGAAGCATCATCTCCCCGCGCTCGATACTGCACAACGCAAGGCAACAAAGTATACCACAGATTTATCCGGCCTTCCATACCTACTCAGACTGAAAACTCTCAAAATATACAGCGGACGTTACCGGCGTCTAAGGGGCGATTTAGTAATGGTGTATCAGTTCCTAAAAGACACCAAGCACACATGCCGCTCTCGTTTGGAGCTCAGTCAAAAGACGTCTCTAAGGGGTCATCAGTTTAAGCTAGCCACGCACTACTGTCGGCTGGAATATCGAAGAACGTTTTCTCCCTGCGAGTGCCACGGCCTTGGAACGTCCTCCCGGCGCATGTAAGTAATGCCCCCACATTGTCCCTTTTCAAAAATCGCCTTGACGATATCTGGACACATTTACACTACGTGATATAGCCTGTGATCATCGGTTGTTGACATTAGGGCACAAAAGTGGAAGGTATCATAACCCACCTAAAATCCACGCGGGAATACTCGCGCTTGCGCACTTGGTCAGTCTTGTATCACATACGATCTTTTACCAACACCGCTTATTGTAATTTCTTATATTGTCACCCTAACTATCCTACGGGACATGTCAAGCATTCACTTTTGTACCCGTCGTAAACCATTGCTCTATTGCTTTAAATGTGCGGAGTAGGCAATTGGGAGTCTGGAAATTATCGAGAATACCTGGAGCTCGAGACTCCTCTAATCGGGACCATATAGCCACCCTGGAGATGCTGTTTAGTTTGGTAACGGAACGTCTGCAACAGAAAGGTCCGACTCGGAGAACAGGACAATCCTCCCAATCAGAAGTCCGCTAAAACATAGTCAAGCGTAACGCAACTACCGGCCTCATTCATTCTCCAGTGTGCTTTTTGAACGAACACCCTTGGAAATTGATAACTGGTTGTCAGCGTGTTAGACATGGATTGTAGACGGAATCCCAGCTGAAAACTTGACTCCAAATGATAGTTTGCCTCGGGGCTGCATTCAGAGTCATCATGAGCGTAGAGATTGACTAACCGGTATTAGTATAATAAAAGTAGTGTCTGCTTACTAGACAGTTTGACGGACGAGCCGTTTGTTCCTAATAGACTGGCCATCCAAAATGCTAGTTGGGCGGTTGTGAGCGAATGCTAAGTGCAGTGGTGCATGGACATTGTGTAAGCGTGACAAGCACGTCATTAGAACCGAGCACAGGCCTGTGCCGCTGGAGGACAGTTGCCCCACTGACGGATCTACGTGGCAAGCTACTAAAAAAAGCCAGTTTGGTCCAACTATGGGCAGCATCAAAGGTTTTGTTGAAGCGGGGTCAACCCAACCCGTTCCCAAAGCTGATATATCAGGTTTCTATAATGAGTCGCAGATATCAGTTAACGCAATATGCTGGACTCGTAATCCGTACGTTTGTAACGTATGTGTATAGTGAGCTAAAACTTTTCTTTAGGGTAAATATCACATTAAAGAACAGCAGCTGCTGTCTACCAACTTCCACGTACTTTTGACTATCGACAAATTATGTTCTGAACGCACACGTTCGTAGCAAATAGGCCTTCCACCAACAACTGACATTTCAGCGTAAGGTAAAGGCTATCAAAGCGAACATATGAAATGCGATGAACTGAATTTTGTGCAGCTGTCGATTCATTTTATGGAGTTTAGCCATTCTGCTGTATGGAAAGTAATGTTTAGGTTTGTGCTTAGATAGCACCATATAGCGCAGGTTTGCGAACTATAACTATATACCTGCGTATACCCAAATATGAGTACTTAGTTACTATTATTGATAGAGCGAAACCAAAGCATCATCTTTGAACGGTAGTATGTAGCAATTAGATGGTCTCCTTGAGACTCAAATCAGTATGTTAATCAACAGAAAAGTTACAATGGCCATTCCGTTTAACCCTTTGATGAAGTACCAAGAAATTCCCCCTTATTCTGCATCCGCTTCAACTGGGATATCTTTTAAGATTCCTTTTTCAACTGCGTGCGAGCTTCACTACTAGAGCGTAACATTCCTATTGTCTTATCGAAAATAATTTGGTGATTACGTTCATCACTCGCATCATGTCTGGAAGCAGCCTGAATGAAATAGGGGAACATCGTCGTCGTCTTGTGCTTAACCTATACCTGGATGGTTTGTAAACCTCTGCGAACACATGGTATTCCTGGGCCTACCACTACATAAGTTCCAGACGCAATTGTTCCGGAACTGTGGCCGCTATGCGGGTCTACCCGTTTTATTCACCTTCAAAAAACTGACCGTAAATGCGTCATTTTAATTCAAGTTACCATATTCTGTCTATCCGGCTTCAGATGCAAACTGAACTACACATCTGTCGTACCGAGCTCCGCAACCAAAAGAATAAAAGTTGTTGCCGTTGTTGTTTACAATTTTGTAACAGGATAATTAATTCCGTTTACCCTGCTCATCACACGTGAAAGGAATAACAGCTGAGTCCCCTTGCACCAATTCGTTTGACATTAACACACTGCTTTGTTTAGGCTGTAGCAATTTGTAAAGCCAGCTGAGTGCCCAAAGAACACATGGAGAGATTGCCCCAAAGGGTAGATGGACGGTAGTTAATCCTTCTCAGCTGCAACCCATATCATCAACAGAGTTGCATCTGTTCACAGTCGAAACACCGAAAGAGTGGGAGTCCATTAGTGTGGGAAACATGGTAATATTTGAAAGTATAAACCTCGTCTCACCATTTTCCTTCAGGCAATTGCTCATTACTTTGCGTGCAATGTTCAAAACTACGCAACTTTTTGTTTTTCTGTCACCCTCGTATCAAAGCGCGATGCTTAGAAAAGGTATTTTCCCCAAATCAGTGCATTATTACAAGCTGATGGCTCACAACTATTGTAGTGAACGGGTCCTTGCATGCAGCACGGTAGAGATAAGCCGCAAACCGGGTCAGCCGCAAGTTTTATAGTGCTATGAAGGTCTTTTACTTACAGCTCAGGTCTGAAGAGTCGGTTTCACTGTACTGTAAGTAAACCTTAAATCAAAAACACACCTCAGTGACATTGACGTCGCACACAAGCTAAAAATTGTTTCCTGAGCCCAACCTGGATGAGT